TTATAATAATGATGTTCCCCTAAACTACTTAGCATGTTACAAGAACATATCTACATAGACAACAACAATGATAATAATGGTAATAATGATAATAATAACAATAATAATAATAAGAAGAAGAAGAAGAAGAAGAAGAATAAGAATAATAATACAGTAAAGTAAGAGAAAACGGAAGGAGAAAACCATAAATCACTCACAAATTCTGCATATGACCTTCAAGGGTCACAGGGTAAGCAAATAGCTCTAGGAGCCAACTCGAACGCACCAGCCAAGCATACAAATTCAAGATCAACAACATATTTAATCACTGACAATGCTTATTGGAGTAGTAGCAATATATGATAATCAAGCGTGGTTCGAGTTTGGTGAGGCTCCTAAATGATAGCTTAGATAACAAAGATAATGTTTTGTAACGTAGCACGATGGTACTCTCTTCACAGCAAAATAGCAACTGAACTTGACACAATCAGGACACTTATTTATCGAACGTGTAAAGCGATCTAACTTATGTAACCTCGATTCTTATGTAATAATTATGGATGCCAAAAAACGTGATTTAAACAATCATTAAGCAAAGTGTAAAAAATCAAACTAAAGAATAGAATATAAAAAAAGGCGTTTCAAAACAAATATTCCTGTCCCGTTATTAAAGGTGGAAAACCCTATAGCCTTTAACAACAATGTAACATGAGATTTGAACTATACTCAAACTAACAAAATGTGAAGTAATCATTGTAGTACAGTCAATCAAGTTAATGCAGCCTCTAACAGGACAATCTTATCAATTGGCTGTACGAGAACAGATGATCTCGTTTTCACCTTGACACTTCTGACCAGTCCATCTCCTCTACTCCGTTAGACTTCGAGGACTCGGCCCAGCAGCCAAGACCTGAGTGGGACACGTTCATCGAGCACTAGGACGATGTTGTTGACACTGAAGTTCCTTTGTGCGTTGGCCCATTTTCGCCTTTCTTGTAGCGTGGGTAGATATTCACGAATCCAGCACCTCCAATAGACGTCGGCTAAGTGCTGAACTTGTTTCCACCTGCAACTAGGGTAGTTATCTTCTTTGCTGAACCAACCAGAGGGTAAGGTAGGTCCTGATCGCAATAACAACAGGTGGTTGGGCGTGAGGGCTTCAGGATCACTGGGGTCATCTGATACTTTGGTTGTGGATCAGCTATTGATAATCACTTCTACTTCACAAATTAGAGTCAGCAAGCCCTCGTCAACTAAAGGTTCTTCCTTTGTGAGAGTTTTCATCACCTTCCACACAGAACGAATGCATCACTCCCAAACACCCCCATGATATGACCAGGCAGGAGGATTGAAAATCCACTTGATGTTTCTTGCCAGAAGGAAGTCGTGAATCTTGCTTTGATTCCAGTCGCAAACAGCTTCTCATAACTCTCTCTTGGCTTTCACAAAATTTCCACCATTGTCAGATCTCATCAGCAGAGTTTGTCCTCTTCACAAGCAATACATCGTCTGTGAGCATCAATGAAGGAATCTGTATCCAAACTGTGGGCAACTTCGATGTGAATTGCCCAGATTGACAGGCAAGTGAATAGAACTCCGTATCGTTTGACGGTGCTTCTTCCTCAGCAAACATCTGAAGGGAAGGTTCAGAAGCATTGGAAAGAAAGTTTATAATGCCTGCAATGTCATTGCGGCTTCCTGTATTCAACGTAATTACTGTGGGATGCTAAACGATTTTTTTGATGACAAATGGCTCGATGATGTTCACATTTCACATTTCTTGCCATAAAGGCCTCTCTCTTGTACAGGACAATAATGGCATTTGCATATTTTCGTTCCCCTACTTTTGGCTGCTACTTATGGCAGCCACCATCTTTAAGGTGTTTAGTTAAACACAACAGTAAAACAACCTCATTTAGGTAGTTTTATTAAACACGGTTTTAAACATGTTTGGTTACACGTGCCTGCGCTGTGAACAGGTAATTTAATAAAACTACTTTAATTATTAAAACAAGATTTAAAAATGTTTAAGCTTTGGTGTGAACAGGGTAATAGTTTTCAATGTATACAGTAATTACACAGTATTATTTCATACTGCTGTGCAATGCTCTGAAATGTCCTGTAAGATATTTAGTGCTTGACATTCCCTTTATCCTTCTTTCTGATTGTTGGTGTGTGTATGGCTATGGTCATCATCCAATTTTTTAGTTCTGTGGAATTTATACACTCTCGCAAACAACTTTCCATTTTCTTTCTCCATGACCTGAATTGTGTATCTGGAGTTCCTGCTACCTTTTCATGTGCCATGATGAAACATCCATGACTGTTTGTGGTTATTTTTTTTTCAACAGGCTGGCAATTTACATCAGAAATATTACCACATTTTTCTAGAAACTGGGGCACACGGTACACAAGAGATAAAAAAATCATTAAAGAATGATGATGATTATCATTATAATTATTAATATCATTACAATTCAGTTTTTTAAAATTGATTTACAAGATTATTGACCTACTACGTATGTAGTGAGTTATATATTCGTCAAAGTGCACCATTCTGACAAATTTTGCCGATTTCCTCGCCCTGTCTTGGAATTGGTGAGGAGGTAAGATATTAGTCCCCCCTTGGTTGTGCTTCTAGAGCTGAATATAGCTCACAAAATCCCTGGAATTGAAATAAACCTTTTCATATTTTCACTTTTAGCAAATTAGAAATATGCTATCCGTTCAAAACCATTTCTATTTTTGTGCACATTGTAGGTTATCAAGAACTAAAATACCCTCCGAAGCTTTTTCACATTCTTATAAGAGACCATCCCTTGATTTTGGAAGCCATCAAAGATTGCCTTCAGCTCCAAATTTTCCAGTATGTTGTGCAGATCTTTACCTATAAGCCAAAATTTAAAATGTTCATTAGAATCAACTTCTAGTTGCTTGCAAGCAAATCTGATTCTCTTAGCAATTTGCAGTCAAAGAGGAAGTTTCAGCCTTGTAATTCTATAAATTAAAATATCATGAGGTTTTCATTTCAATATCATCTAGTCGTGTCCATTGTATTTAGGATGGCCCTCCTTCACTTTAAACTTCATAAAACTTGAATGGAACACCTATTGTTCCCAGTGCAGTTTCCAAAACTTCCTTTTTTTATTATTGATTGCCAGTTCAATAACCTGTGAAAAAATTGCCAGAGAGGGAAAAAGTAAGATTTATGC